CACAAATTTCTAAATTATATTTAAAATTTGTTCTAAAATTTAATTTAATAAAATTAATCTAAAAACTTTATAATGAAATTATAATAGCGCTTTATATTATTTTAATATTTAATTTAACATCTATTTTATACATATTTTCTCCGCTTTGTTAAATTAATGTAATTTAAATTAATATCTCTATCTTTTACATATAAAAAATTTGCAATATATAATTATGTAGTAGATATATTATCTAATACAGCATTATGTGTTTGTTTACGGTAATGCAAAGCTTCTTGATAAGCTTTCTTTACAGCTTTTCTGTCCGCCGGTTTACGCGATTCGATCAATTTTGCTTCGTCTACTTCCTGTGATACTCCAAGTTTTTCCAATTTTTCACCTGGTAGCCATTGCCTAAAAAATTTATTATTATTAAACAAAAAATCTTTGCTGAATTATATGTTATTTATATTATATTGCTTTTATAAAATTTGTAAATATTTCATAAAACTGTTATAGATATATAGAGTAAAATATACAATCTATACAACATATATTGGATTATTCATTTCTCAACATTCTTCTTAAATTTATTTATGACCAGACATTTCATACATATATGTACACACACGTTTTTGAATTAAAAATTAAGAATCATTACCAAGTTCGTTTTGTGTCGAAGAAAAGCACAAGAAAAACTCTCTCTTTATAATTATCTGCAAGCGCCAAAACATCATCAGGTGGTGCTGGGATTGGTACTCCTTTATATATAGTACCCCGTGGTGTGTTAGGATCAATAATCAGGGCTGGATACCAAGGATATCCACGACACTTGGCCCATACGAGCTGCAAAGCCTCTAAACCACTACCGGTGCTTGCTTGCTTGTTCTCATTTCCTTTTTTTGTATCAACAATCTCTTGTTGTTTCTCTTCTTGTAGATCGGGAGTAGTGGATCTACTTGTGGGGCAACTACTACAACTTGACGATTGACTTTCTCCCTCGCCTACATCACTATCCATTGCTCCACTTCTAAAAATATAAATCGTATGTAACGTTTTAAATATTTGCATGAATATTTGAACATTATTAGCATATCAATAAGCCCAGATAATAAGTATAATTTAAAAAAAATGTATGTATGTATCATTTCGTTTAATTATATTACCGTAATTTAAATTTTATAATAGATACGTCATAAACATTTACATAATTACTTATTGTGCGAGATTGTCACGATCACATTTATTTACCTATATACTTTAAAACTATCACTTTGTTTCTTTCTGTCATCCTCCGGAAGAAACATTTGGCCACTTTTGGCATTGCGCGCTCTAGCTTTACGGGTGAATAGTACCGCTGTTCTCCTATTTACACCACCTCCACCAATCTCCTTCTCGCTGGATTGCGATTCTGTTTCTACGCGATTACGATTAGATCTTTCTCTCTTTCTAGGTTTAGAGCCAACCTGTTCAGTTTCAGTGACTGGATCGAGCTCAGGATAATCTTTTCGAACTTGTTCTATCAGAGCTCCGCCTTGTTCTTTCATTTTCATTCCTGCTCGATAAAACATGGTATCTTTGCGATTATATGCAAGACAATTGCTCACCATTAAATTGAAATCAACCTCAAAAGCCGCGATAGAGTCATATTCTTGCTTTTCTAATTTCACCTATAATGAAAAATATATGATTATAGATAATTATGGCTCGGTCAAGTTTCAGATATGTAAAATGTACTTTAATAAACATAATATGAAATACTTCTTATAATTACCTGCATAGTAGAGAGATCCATAGGATGTGATACTATTTCAAGATAATCTGGAACTTCTTTAATGTTAACTGGTTGTCCAAATACATCATTGACATCTTTCGCTTTCAAAGCTTCTAACAATGTACGCAAAACACTTTCTAATGGTCGTAATTTAAGCCATATACACTTTTCCTTTCTGCAAACAATTTTCCATTTCAGCATTTTTCTTAAAATTCTCAATTAGAATTTTACAATGTTAATTTATATTTATAATAAAATATATTTTTCTTCAAAATATATATATTTTTAAATATATTTTTGTTTTTTTAAATATATAATATCTATTTCATATAACATATGTCGTATAAATACTAACACTTTGATTTGTTCTTTCTTTAATTTTTCACGCTTCCGTACTAATTCACATAATAATCGTGCACGTTCTAAATCTTGACGTAGACACTGCCAATATTTAAGCTGACGATACAATTCTCCTCGAACCTCAGTATCTTGTGTAGGCGAAGAGGGATGTTCTCCGAGTGGAGGCGGTCTAGATTGTGGATGGGAACTTTGCAATCTTCTAAGAAGCGGAACACCATTCCTGTATTGTCGCTTCAATGTCCAATAGGCGATGAGACGTTGTATTAATTGACTTCTTTTTGGTATTCCTTCTGCTAAACTATTTAAAATAAAATAACATACATAAATTTAACAATACATAAAAAATTGCTTTATTATAATTTAGATGTGTTTAAATTATATTCATCATTATTTTATTATTACTACATAAAAATAAAGTGTAAATTTTATTACCTAGCAATTTCTCTGATTCTTTCTGGTGGTATGGTGGGAATAGAGATAACGGGCGCTGAAGAGCTTTTTTTGTTAGCTATAGCTCTCCTTCGTGCATCCACGGGATTTGTAGAAGGTTGATAATCAGGAGGTGTATGCGCTTCGCAATAAGCTGTCTTTTGTACCAACATGGGTTCACCGTTAGAGGGTTGTACAGTTTTCATGCACATGCACAGACCAGCTTGTTGGGCGCAAGTTACATGAAATGCCGCATAACAATTGCTTTTGTGACACTGAATGCAGGCGCCTGCTCCCTTGCGTTTACACACATAACACGTAAGTTTCCAACGAGCTTGTGGTATGCTCTCTATACTGTCAATGGGTTCTAAAAACACAGTATTGGCAAATCTTACTTCAGGTATCCATAAAGCACAAACTACGTGAGCCCATGTTGCAGAACGATCAGTTTGTTTGAAGGCACCACCTCTGTTTGGACAAAGAATGCAATCTACAGCCCTGGATGGACTCTGCAAACACCTTCTACACAACCATTGTCCTTCTGGTATATATGGTACACCATAACAATCTTGATGGACCGCGAGATTACACATATCACAAAACAGAATTGCATTACTGTTCTGGCATTCACCATCCATACAAATGCAACACACAGCATCTTCATCTGCAGCAACACCACCTCCACCATTACTTTGCTGTTGGAAATATGATTCTTTTTCTAGTCTGTCCATTAGTAGCTCAAATGTGTCTGCTTCTAACGGTGTTAATCCGGAAGCTTGCCTTCTTTCGTTTACTATAGAAAGCCATGCAGTGTCTTCTTCATCCAAGTCATATTCTACTTCTCCTAAATAATATATCAAGTTAAATATTTTTGAATTACAGTAATAATTTTATGATAAAAACAAAAGTTCTCATATATAAAAACTATACAAAAAATTTAACATAATACAATATAGCAAAAATACATTTACATTTAAAAAAATTTACAATAAAAATTTACAATAACGTAATATATAAGGTATTGCTGTGTAATTATTGATATAAATGTTAATGTAAATATTGAAAATAGATATGTAACACGTTATTATTAATAATAAAAGATAAACTGTAATATAATAATAATAATAATAATTAAACATGATGTTAAAATATAAAATCATTTATTACATAAGTTGCATAATATATTTTACCATCAAGCTCTTCGCCACTGCGCTCCATAAACCTAATATAAGAATTTGGAAGTGGTTCAGCTTCTCCTAATTGATCCTGATAGCCTTCTATTTCTTTAAATGTAGCAATAGGTAAAGTATTGAGAATATTCTTGTCTTCCTTTTCCTTTTCCAACGATGCTACATTACTTTTTTGTACTTTTTCATCTAGTGTGTTTGCATCCATGGAAATTATAGGAATTGCATCTGAGATGGCTAATTTAATTGATTTGTTTGCATCCTCTCCTATAGGATTTACCTTTAAATTGATAAAATAAAATGTCTTTAAATAAATCGAAAGATATATATATATATATATATATATATATATATATATATATATTATATATATATATCTTATATATATTATATATATTAATATAACTATATTTAATAAAAATTCTTTTGCTGTTAGAAAATATATGTAGAAATATAAATAATTTAGCAATATTTGTATATTCTTACTGTTATAAAATCAATATTTAATATATATGTATATATGTATATTTTATGTGTGTGTGTGTGTGTGTGTGTGTATGTGTGTGTGTGTGTATTCTTAAAATAGATTAATAGATTAGTAGATTAATAAATTAATAAATTAATAAACTAATAGATTTAATCTGTCAAACACTTGTACAGTTACTTTTGCAGTCTCACTTACTAAAATCATTAGGCTAATTACTTGTATTCAATCAAACTTTTAGCATTAAAATATATTCTTCAACTATTTGCAACAAATAGAATATTATATATTGCCATGATTCAATGAAAATAAAAAGGAAATTATTGGGATGTAATAAGCGTACGTTTAAAAAACATACCAAAACAAACTTTGTTGCCTCTTGGGTGCTGAGTGTCTCCGCGTTTATAGGACTCGCGCTTTCATTCGATACGCCAATTCTGCTTCTCCCTATCTTCTTATTCTTCTTGTTTGAGTGCGGCGTGTTCATATTCGCTTGTATTGCGATAAACTCACGTATTCGATATGGACCGCCGCGATTCGACGAACACAAAGTACTTCACTTTGGTTAACTCGCCGCACGATAGTTCACAACGGCCCGTGCAATTGCCAGCTATGAAATTTCGCCGGACGATCGAAACGTGCAGAGCCGGTCATTTCTTTATTAGTAAATACTCACAGCGCGAGGTAACTAATGATTCACGTATAATGCAGAAGTATGGAATACAGTAGTCGGCGAGAATCGGAAAAAATAGCGGCTATCCCGATATCGTTTGATATTACGTTCAAATAAACGATCGCGTCGAAATAAACGGTCGCCAAAGATGTATTGCCAATCTTAAAATGAATAGCTTTAGAATCCCTATAAATAAAGTTTTTTTTATTTTGTGAGGCTCGAGACAACTTAGGGCTCTCCACATTGAACGCGATGAGCGATGAGCGATATCCAATGAGAGCTTTGCTTTTTCAACGTCACAGATGGGCATTTGAAAAACCAAAGATCTGAAGCCTAATCTATAATAACATAACATAAAGCTATAAAGCTGTAAGACGTGATTGTAAGAACCTACTTAAATGAATTATTTTCATTTCTTATGCTTAACTGTGCTATAACTGTGCGATA